GAGAATATCTTGAAAACAGCAGGAAAGTAATCATCGGTGGAATTCGTTAGAAGTACTAGCAAGAAAGATATATAAAGTTAAAAGTCGTAAAAGTATCCGGGCCGTTTCAGTGTACAGGAATTTCCGCATTGCTTCAATATACTGAAGTTTCATTCTTCAGGATTAAGGTCAGTTTCATCTAAACGCCTTTGTCATTGTGGTCTACCCACCAGTTTATATTTTTCTAAAGTCTATGCAGAAATGTCTAATAAATAACACTTAGTAAATGATACACATTAGACTCACTGTATAAATATTTTATGAAATACTCGGGGAAAAAAATATTTCTGCAAGAGAAAGAATTCGTTATTTGAATTATGCAACAGTACCAGTAGGATATATTTTCAATTCAAAAAGCTTATTTTTTTTTAAACGATAAATTATTGACTTACTGTAACATGAATCAATTCTTATTCATCATGTGATTTGTTATTTACACTTTAAATGAAATATTTTAGTTGAAATTTTTATGTCTAGGTTCGAAGAAAGTGCATTAAACTCTAATATATTTTTAGCATTCAAGCCTCTTTTGTACTGGAACTCTTTGTTACGTTTTTTTCCTATTTAAATCAACTATTCAATTATATCTTTTGATGGAAATGGTTAAAAAATTTCTCAGCCAAATAATAGTACTTCACATTAGTGTCCTTTATTTTTTTGCATAATTCCACGTTCATAGCTACTTTTAATGAAACGTTAGGCAATTAAAATTATCACTACTTCCCAATATCTCTTCTTTTATCGATGTCAAAATCTTCAGTTCTTTATAATCTATAAAAAAAGATAATAATTATAAAAAAGAAATTTTGTTCCAATTAAAAAAAAAGATGTCTTTAAGAGAAACAAAGAAATGTTGTATAAACCCGTATAATTCGGTATAATTCTTAAGAACATTCACGTTCAAAAGAGAAAGCAGTTTTGTATTGACTCCCCTAACGAACCCGGATAATGTCGTTTTATTTCTACTGACAAGAAACGAGGTCTCATATCTCTTTCAACTCTCATAAAACAGAGATGTGACACTGAGCTTCAAAACGTTACTTCCAGAAGTCCTCGAAAATTTATCCTAAAATCTCTGAGTACTTGATATCTCTACATTTATATATGTACATGATCTTAAACTTCTTCGTGAGAATTCTTTGCTGAAGAAGATTTCATGACGATATGTTGAAATTCGTGTAGATTCATTTTTACAGATACGTGACCTTATAACAGCTCTCTCAATATGTTATTTTATGCATCTCTAGCACAAAACACGTCAGAAGAAATGATTCAGCTGCTCCAAAGTTAAGTCCAGGGATTTTAAGTTTACATCAAGCCTCGTATACAGAAGAGTTACAATTTATCATAGCTAGCGTACTGACCAGAATCTGAAAGGAATTGGACTAGAATTTAAGTTTGCAGACGTGCTGAAACTTTATACAACTTTTCTGAGATTAGTAGATGTAACAGGATCTTATAAAGCACTTAGGAATATTGAGGAGGTTTTGCTTGCTTATTTTTTAATGTTTTACTTGGTACTTTTAATTATTTATTTTTGTAAAATGTTAATTATCTAAGGAATGAGTGAAAGAAAAAAGGTCAGCAGTTAATATAGAGCAATGTAGGATAATCTAGATAAAATCATCTCAAGACAGAAAAAAAAAATTTTAGCAAAATAAATTTCTAGTTAAGATGAAAAATTATTCAAGTATTTAATTATTTGCACAAAAGATATCTGTATTCAGCTGAAGTCATTACGAAGATGAGGTAAATATTATTTCTAATTCCCTTGATACTTCAATTTTTCCTCAAATGCAAATATTTACTTCTTCAAAACACACTCGATAAGCTGCAAAAAGCAACAAATATATTGTGAATAATTTGCATGCAATAATCGTGTAATTAATGAGTGTAATTTTCAATTTAAATGCAAGTTTTAGTTTATAGCGTTCATTTTATAGAGATCGTATGCTCCCTAGGTTATCGATAAATATCAACTCTATCAGTAGTTCTCTTTGGTGTGAACGTAACACCCAGCTGCTTCTACTTTTACAGTATGAACTAGTAAACACATAACGTTTAGTCTAGTCGGTAAGCTGCGTCTACTAAACGACATATGATAAGAAACATATAAAAGATGGTCCAAGAACATTCTGATAGTCACATCCTTCTGAAAAATTATAATGTCTTTTGATAAAGATAATTTTAAATCATATACCTTACACATGTACTCCAACATACATATGCTCCAATTAACTTCTAATCGTTATTACACAAAAAAATTGAACATAAAATGTGTAGTTTTTATTACAACCCAACTATTGGTCTGCGAAAGATTGAAAAAAAATACTTTAATTATCTTGAACCCTTTATCCCTGACCATTCAATTGGTTATTCCCTAGTACAACCTTTAAATTAGCTATTCATCCTGTTTCTTCAATGCAGTCAACTCTTTTTGTTAGTCAAATAAGATAAAATTCTTTTTCTATAGTGATTTAAAAACAACGTGAAAGTAAAATGTTATTACACATTAATGAAACTCCTTGAGCCTTGAAGAAATTGATAGTAATTTTTTTATTTACAAAACAACTCAGATAAATTGGAAAAGCACTTTAGAATAAATTTACCACTTTTTCAAAATCATTGTTTTTTATAAAAATTTGTGGTATTTGTATACTGTACGGCTCATTAGAAACATCCACTTCTGTTGGTATTCATCCCTCTTTCAACTTGTTCCAATTTCCATTGTTTTAACTGTAGTATTCTTATCTTTTATCGTTTTTTTCGGTCTGCTTTTTTTATATTTCTACTGAGTGATATTATTTTTTTGTATTTATTCAAAGTAACTTATTGTTAAAAACATCCACATTAGTTTGAAATTAATAACAAATTACCATTATAATTTTGTAACTTTTTTGAGTTATGTATATCATTAAAATCCTGAGAACTATGGCATAGTCTTTGATGTATGTAATATGCAATATAATTATTAAATGAGCAAGTTATAATTGAAGCTTTTATGAACTATAATTTATTATTATTTTATATAATATGTTACTTCAATTATCATGATGAATATGTTATTATTATATTATATTTTGCATCAATTATTATAATTATTATTACCAACGATACATCTGCTTTTAATTTGTGTCCGAGAATTGTGTTTTTTATTTTTACATTGAAAGTCAATTAATTAGCTGATGGTGATATAATGTGGGCGTGTCTCCAGATGATGATTTTCACTTGAAAAATTTTTTTTCATCAATTCTCAATTAATTGATGGTTTTAATAAACTATTGTTGGTATTCATTTTTTCAACTCAAAAAACGATAAATATGATGATTCACATTAATAAATAAGATCACTTAATAGTTATCATCGTATTAAAAGAAGTATTGTATTTAGATAGGTTATTTATTGATATGAATATTAGAAGAAAGTTTATGGTAAAAAAAAAGAAAAAAATATTCAATTGAACACTTGAGTTCAGATAATATTCTGTTCTTATCAGGAGACAAGAAAAAATTCTCAAGTATTTTTGGAAACAGTAAAGATACATTGACATAAGGTAAACATTGTATCTTCTGTTTTATTTCCTTTTTGATAATGTAGCTTATCAAAGTTGTTGGTGTGATAGGACACTGAGCTGTATCACGAATCAATGGGATGAAGGACAATCGTTCATTGCTCGGAGCGCTTTAACAGAGGGAAAACAGAAAATACGTATAGAACAATGAAGTGCAAAATAGACTTGAATTCCTTGAGTAATAGTGGTACACAGTTATGCCATTGATTCTCGATAATATCTCCAACGTCTTTTTACGTAATGATCTTTTCATTTTTGTTTTGCTCATAATTCTCGTACTTTAAATTTATTTTTACATTTAAATACTAAAGTATTTGTGTATTAATTTCTAGGCCGAAGCTTTTATTCCGTGTCCTTCATCGTAAAAAAACTCTTTCTTTGGAATTTAATATTACAATAAGTATCGATTACTCCTGTATAGTAACGATATTCTCTTATCTCTGACTCATAAAATTTTTGCATATTACTGTGATAAGCTAAACATACTGATCATAAACTTTACCAATCATTAGTGAAAACTGGATTATTGAAAATATTCCGGATAATTAAAAGAGTTCAGAGACTAATTGGAACAAAATTATTAATTTAGACATTTTATATTGTTGTTTCAAAGACAATAAAGTATATGGCAAAAAATATTTTACAGAAAAAGGTTATAAAATTTTGAAATAATTTATAACTGATTTTTATGTGGACCAAAAAATAAATTTCATTGGTAATAAATATTCATAAAATAATATTTCCGTAATAAATTTAATAGCAGATATTGATAACGTGTATTTTCATTGCTATTATAAATAAATTTTCAAAAATACATAAATAATTCAGGTAATACAATACAAATAAACATACATCTTTGTGATTAATTGAAAAAAAAATTCATTCAAAAAATCATAAAATTAATAGAAGGAATATATTCTAAAATTCACAATAGATTCGATACAATCATGAAAACACATATAACATTATTATTTGAAAACTATTTAATAAATATTATTACAAATGTAGTATGCACTCAAACTACTTCTGGTACTTTAAATTGAATAGATGATGAATAATAATATCCATTTTCCAGTTTATGAAATTTTCTCCAAGTTTATTATACAAAAACAGTTCTAAACACATAGATACATGATGTTGAGAACCGCGGTTAGACATCCCGTCATACCTGTAACTCGTTATCAGCGTTAACACCCTCACACAATCGAAACTAACATTCAACTTGTCTTTTTCTCACTTCCTCTTATATATTTATACTTTGTTTGTATTTGTTTCACTTACATTTCTGTCTTCTGCGACCCCTTCTACTTTCCACAGGACCCTCTCTCTCTCACTCTTATACTCGCGAAGCGCGATTATACGAACTGTTCGCGCAGTCAGTACAGAGACTTCGTTCACAACACGTGTCTCCCTCTGTCACTTTTCGCTTTTTTATTTTCTTTTTTAATTATACGAAAAAGTTTCATACTTATACTCATTCTTAAGGTAATGGTGATATTTTTTCCAATTAATTCACAGAAATCGTGAAGTTTTTTCAATGACTTTCTTTGATACGGACAAAGAAACTTGAGAGAAACGTTGAATGATCGTGTGATTGATTTTAATTCAGATTAACTGCAAAATTGTGATCATAAGAAGATGTGCAATTGGATTAATTAATAAGAAATAATCTCCTGGAATTATCTGCAGATGGTAAAGTGGTGTTTTAGGATCAAAAGTTCGGTAATTTGCATCGTCCTTTATTTTTATTTTTGCAGAAATTTTATTTCAATTAAACGTCTGTACTTGTTGAGCTTGAATCAAGTGTGCATGATTTTTGAGTATTTATTTAATTTCTGATAGTGACAGTTGATAAAATTAATAGAGTTTTATTGTAGCATTTATCTGAAACGTCAATTTACTTTGACGACCTAGTACTTCATTCGTAATTAACATCCTCACCTTGTTCTCCAACACACGAGCAATGACACATTGATTAAATATAATGACCATTCTTTGTAATTTTTTATTCTTTCACTCGTAAAAATGGAACGTGATTTACATAATATGTGTTTAGTTCTTGGTTATAGTTATTCTAGAAAATATAATGTAGACAGAATACAGGTAAGGCAATACTTGTAGCTTAGTTATTTTTATGAATATTGCATTTCTCAGAATAAGTCATCCGTGAGCATTAAATCATGCCACGTGGTAAACACAAAAAAAATTATACATTGCTCTTGATGATTTTTATCATTTTGCAGAGTTAAGTTGATAATTATAGAGACAAATATTTTAATCATTGAAATATTTGAAACTTAGTATTTTAATTGAATATTAATTATCGGCTATCTGGTTTGAGTAATCCTTGAATTAATGAGTTTTTCAAAAGTAGCATTCAAACGAGTCATTGAAGTGATTTGTCACAAAAAATTTAGTAAATATATTATAAATTAAAAATTACGGTGCATTGGCCTCTAAAAAGGTCACATTTTTTGCGAGATTGTATCTTAGTCGGAAGATTGTAAATGTCGATAGTTTGATCGCGCGCCAAAGTCTAAAAAATTTTAATAGAATCAATGGCGAATGTGAGAGAAAAAATTCTTGAATCGAAAAATATTTGAATAATTTTTTTTTATCGTTTCAATTTTTAATTATTTATTCATTAAAAAATGATGTCATTAGAGTGTTTTTTGGTACAAAAAGTTTTAATTGGTAATTAATTTAAAGAGTATTGAGGCAAAAAATCGGGTTTTAATTTCAGTGATGCTCATATGTCTTAAGAATTGAAGCATACAAAGTTGTTTAGTCTGGAGATTAATGAATGAATGAAAGAATAACAAGACAACGAAAAGAAAAGTACAAGTCATATAGAGGACAATGACATATCATACAAGATTTTTTTTAATAATTACATTGTTACCAATTTATATGTGATGGTACATTGTAATAAAATCCATTAAATTTTTTCAGTGAGCTTTAAAATAATTGATGAGAATATTTTTTTTTTATTCTTTATAATGTTTTGTCACTAATATTTGTCTCTGAAAATAACTACAAGAGAAGAATTTTCATATTTATAATTATCATTAAAAAAATTTTTTATTATACAATGGTTGTTGTGTTAAAATGGACTCAGGTCATGATGAATTATACGAAACAGAGCAAAAAATTGAATGTCATAAGGTTATTATTTGCTATTTTTGTATATTTATTTTAACTCTCAGTTCATATATCGATAAATATTATATATTATTAACTTAACTTCAGAACTTGCCTTCGTCTCGAATAAAAAGTGCTTTTATCAGAAGATATTTTATTTACTAACGGAAATATATCCTTGCACTAAACGTATTTTATTGAAATTTTTCAGACAATGTTTTTTATGTGAAGCAATTGTTATGATTGTGATAAATCAATTAATGACCCATGCATAAAAATTGATTGGCAAACTCTACTTTTTTCCTAATGCTACACGATTCCATTAATCTGAATACAACCGGCGATTCGCTCTCGTTATTTTGTTGAACTTTCGCGAAAAGCGCCGTTACATTCTCGCATCAATTGCTGCATTTTACGTGCCAAAGATTTTTTTTCGGTACTTGGATGCTTTCACACATGCATGTTAAAGAGCAAATCTCGACACACTTTTTATCTTTACGATAAAAAGAATTTTTTTGTACATGTTTATACGAAATTACCATATTTACACTACATCTACACATGTCATCACGTAATACATTATTGCATTATCAAACGGAAGTTAGTTCATTCATGCATTCTTTTGAAGTATAAAATACATTGCTTTTCTGGGGTTACTAATAAATAAATTGAGTATACAAAAATTAAATAATATTATATAATGATAAAAAATATATCACATAAAGATTAAGCAGTGTGGATTCGTATTATATTACTGGCTTGAAAGTTAACGAACACATAAATTACAAGACTTCTCAGTTTCTAGTTTACTACACCATAACCACAAGACGCCACATGTCCCTCATCTAATTACTCAATCATTACACGCATGTGTTTCTTACCGATGAGTGATTTCAAAAAAATCTGTTCACTACTAACATCGTTCATCTCTATTAGGATTTTATTTTTTTACTGAAAATACTATTTTTATAATAGAATATTTTTTTTCTTTTATAAAACTACGTAATATTAAAAAATTTCAAATTTGTTGCTTGATCAAAAAGTATATGTATGTTAAAAGCATTGTTATGTGTAAATTGAGCATTGACAAAAAAGGTAAAAATTTTTTTTAAATCCTCTAGGGAGTTTCAAATATATCGAGTATTTTTTTTAAAAATTGGATAAAAATACAAAATTCTTCTGGCTGACGTTAATAATGAAATATCTGGATCATAACAATAAAAAACTTTGCATTCCAATAACGATAAAATGTATAGATTTCAATCAAGGATGAAAAATGGAACGAAGCTGAGTATGAAAGTCATAAATAGAGTTAATTATTTTTATGAAGAATCAAATAAGCTAAAACGGTTATTTCCATAATAAATTTTTTTTCACTGAGTAGATTTATTTACAATTAAAAAATTTTTTACTGTTAATTTATGGTGTTTAAACGTCTCATTTCCTTTTATGTAAAATTGATTATTTTATTTTGTTTTGATGAAAAAGCTTTTAGATTAGCAAATTTCATTTTTTAGATGTATAAAAACAAGTTTAATTATAAATAAACACTTCTCCATGTGTTGTCTTTGAAGTGTTAATTAGTCGACAACATGTAGTTTAAAATTTACATATATATATTATATTACTCTATAAAGTATGCAATTTATTTTTCAAGTTTTAAAATAATTTTTATAACTATTGCAGGCGTCTCAAAGCGGCCAATGGTTTGAGAAGGATGGAGGAGCCATTCAAGGACACTGGTGATTCAAATAATGAAAGTCCAGTTAACAGGAGAACAGATGAAACTATTGAGGGAGTCATTACAACAGACGAGAAAGATGTACGGATACTATCCGTGGATAAACTTACAGTTGAGAAGATAGTTTTGGAGAAAGCTGGCTCACAAGAAGTACTCTTTACAAAGAGTGAAAGCTCCAAGAAGTTATCTGAGTCGACAAAGACGTTTCCTACAAAAATAAATTTTAATAAGTTGCAAGATTTTAAAAATAAAAAAGATCTAACTAATTCTAATTTTAATGAAGATCTTAAATGTAGTGGAAAATCAACTGAGGAATTGAAGAATGCAGATAATTGCAAGAAAAAGATATCTTTTTCAAAATTACCAGTTTGGAGATCGCCTAAAATAAAGAGTCCTAATATTGGCAATGAAATAAGAACTAAATCAGTTAAGTTCGATAAAAGTTTAGTTGAAGAAAGTCAATTAAATTCTCATTCTTCAATTCTAAATCCTTTGAAAATTTGCAAAGTTTCCCCAACAATCTCTCCAGAGCCTTTAAAGAAGATTAAAGCTAATACAAATAAAAAAGGATCAGCTTCAGGAGAGGATTTTAATAATCAAGCGGATTTAACAAACAATTCACAAAAGCTTATTCAAGACATTTTAATCGAAGATGTACGGGACAATAAAACCGAACCTGTGATTCAAAAATGTCGCGAAATTACACAAAAGACGCACAATGAAATTGAGAAGCTTCAGAAAAATTTAGTGAAGGTTAATTCAGCTACAATTGAATCTTTCAAACAGAAATTACCAATTTTACATCCACATGTGTTGAAGACCTCAACTAGTCCAGATCTAGATCTTAATGAAAATATCACACGAGTTGTGTTTGATAAAAATCTTTTACCTCAGCATGATTTTAATAAAAATTTTAAAGTAGAAGATAAAACATTGTTAGAGACTGATTTCGACTATGCACCAGATGGAGAAAAACTTAATTATAGTAAGTTTAATAAACCGAAGTACAGCAGAGAAGTATCAGAAGTTGAGAAAAGATGGTCTGGAGAATTTTTAGAAAATCAATTTGAAAATTCTTCAGGTTCGTCTAAATCTTCTTATATTGAAGAGATTGGAAGTATTTCATCTCATGGTAGTTTTATTGAAGATTCTCATGCAAACAGCAATCAACGATCAGAATTGCATGTGAGAAAAAAGAATGAAGACTTGAAAAAATCAGAAATCGATGAAATTCTTGAAGATACTGTTAGTACAGTTGATTCAACGTCATGCTTAGAAGATCGTATTAAAGCAATTGATGAAGATATCAATCAATCAATTAAACTTGAAAAAAATCATGATGAAAGTGAATCAAGAGACAGTACATTAAAGAAATCATCATCTACTGATACGTGTTATCAAATTGAAGAAGTACAGGTCAATATTGAAACAAATAAAAAGCAATCGAATGACTGTGAGAAAATAGAATTGAAAAGAGTTTTTATAAACGAAGAAACTGAAGAAGAAGACTGTGAAACGGATGATCAGTCGAACTTTATAGATGAAGAAAGGGAATGTACAGAGGTTGAGAGGGTAATAGTTACAGAGAAAGAAGGTGAATGTATGCAAAGTGACGGCTACGCTGAATTAATAAAAGAAATTACGATGGATCCGGGGTCGTCAAAGAGTAAAGATGAAAAGAAGAAGAAAGGTGGACTTCGTCGACTTCTTCCTGGATTATTTTCTCCAAAAGATTCTCGTAAAGATTATAAAAAAGAACAGAAGGAAAGAAAGAAACGTGACGAGCGGCATTTCAGTCAATATCAACAAAATGGAATTTATACGAGGTCACCCGATACGATGCATTTAAATGAAGATATTCGAAGAAATGTCAATTTAGATACAAGTCTAAATGGAACTATTATTGAAGAGAGATTAAATGAAATAAAACAAGAGCTCTTTCCAGAACCTGGAATGACAACTAGTACTCCAGATCATTTTATTCAAAATGATCGTAATCATATGCAAGGTCAGAGAGCTCCGAAAATTTATACAGCCAATTCTTCACTCAGCTCTATTGCAGTAGAAGACAAATGGATCGATCAAAATATTATCAGTGGATCTCCTGATATGAGAAAGCTCAAAGCACACATCAGAAATGATAATGAGAGTAAATGTAGTTTAGAGAGAAAGCATAGTCTTCAAGAATCCCAACCACGATTTTTAAGAAATCATGGACCATCTGGTAGAATTTCTGCTCCACCGTCTGAACGATATTTAATCAGACCTCGTGCAGTTCATCCTATCGATCGACCTTTGCCTGCTATTCCACAAAAAGTCGAGTACGTTAATTATGAAAATCATCCTGAAATTCACCAGGTTCCAAATAATTATACTGGACAAGAGGTTACTAATTATCAGATGGGAGGATATTATCCAAATAATCAAAATTATGCTAATGAAGCAGAGTTATTTGAAAATGGAAATCACATTGAGAAGGCAGAAGTTAATAAGAATTACAGCATTGATTCAGGATTTAATCTCACACCTGTATCAGGACAAATGAAAATGAATCGTAATCATGTAATTAATCAGAATAATAATATGAATAATAACAATGGTCAAAAAACACCCTCTAATCATGGAAGGTCTCCCAAATATTCACCCAGTTCCAGTCAAAAATCTGGAGATTATGCTGATTCCAGTTATACACCTAATTCAAGTCAGAAAAGTGAATTTTCACCAGGTAGTTCAAAAAGTGGAGAATATTACTTAAATTCTCCTAGAACCAGTAGTAGAATGTCACCTGATGATAATTTCAATGATCAAAGAGATGAAATTGATCATGAGCCAATGAAAAATGGAAATTATCAAGTACCTTCAAGTATTAGAGTTCAGAATAAAGATGAACATGTCTACGATGAAACACCGAGGTCACCTTTTGAAGAAGACAAATCTTCAGGGATTTCTAAAGTACAAAACAACAATCCAGAAGCAGTTTATGGACAACGAGGATCTCCCAATATCCCTTTATCATCCAATTTAGCTAAACTTCGCGCTAACGTTGAAAATTCATCGCGTTCAGAGTCTCCAAGAAACTTTGATGGAAGGGCAGGACAGAGTTCGCAAATACCTTCGCCTGTAGCTAGTAGTAAAGTTTCGACTTTGTCAATTCAATCGCCAAGCCAAAGAGACTTAGCAAAGTCTCCACTATCAAATGCTCCGAGAGTAACTTCTCCATTGACTGTCGTTACACCAGTAAGTCCGACGACTTGTATTAATACCATGTCACCAAACGGAATAAACAGAAGCAGATCCGCTACACCTTCCGGGTCTATGTCACCAGCAAGGATATTAACACTAAGTCAAGAAACTTCTCGTCTTACAATATCACCTTCAACAATTAACCAAGTGACGAGTAATTCAATGTCCACATTTCAACCTAGGAAAGCTCAACCAACAGATCAAATTTTGATTGCTTCTCCTAAGAGAGAATTAATTTATGATACTCAACCTCATCGACCACCAAGTCGTTTGGAAGCTGGATGCCCCGATTCTCCAGTGCCTATGGCAGATTCTCCATGCCGTATATCAAGCCCCCGACCTAATTTTAGACAAAATATTGCTGAATTAGACCGCGCTAAATCTCCTATCATGGAAATGTGTGAGCATCCACCGCCGCAGGCATTTCAAGATCAGCCACAGAGGATTCCGATGCAATCTAATCGACCAATGTCCCCTCGAATAAGTGAAAAAATCCCCGAGAAGGGAATTCAAAGACCCGAACCGATTTATTGTACTCGAAGTCCCCAGAGGGCAATATCACCTCTAGCAATAAAATCTGATCAAAGGACTACATCTTTAGCTGGAGGCAAAGCCAATATGCTATTGATTCCTGCGAGACCTGACAACGTCAATTCAATTTCATTATCTCCATCAAAACTTCTAGAAAACTTGGCTGCAAAAAATTTACAAGGTGTTAATAGTACTCAAGAACAACATCGTGTTCAATCTCCAAAGCCAATGAGCCCACAAGTACACAAAGAATTGATTAATTCTTCTCCAGAACAAGCAGAGAAACTTCAGCTCAGAAAAAAAGATAGTAATTATTATCATGAAAGACCACAAGCTATCTATGATGAGCAAAATAATTTAATTAGAGAAAAGAATACAGTTAATGAACCAATTTATGTCAAAAGAGTTCAACCATCACCTGTTCCAGACCACATGATGACTCCGATTTATCAGCATCCTCAAAAACATCAGGTAGTTAGTCAACAACATCAAGGAGCACGTCTCGAGCAACCTCGTCAGCAAATTTATGTAACTAAGCAAGAGATTTGTGGTCCAAACCAAGAACCAATTTATGGACGTCAGTCAATGCCTGAGGGAAATATTCAGAGAAATCAGAATCAAGAAAAAATTTATGGTCAAACAGTTACTGAGCCAATTTATGGACAAAATAAACAATTGTCTCCTTCGAAAAAGCAAATGATGCAACATTTAGAAGCTTTTTATTGGCAACAGAAGGCTTTGGAAGCACAGAAAAATTCTGGAAATTCACCAAATAAATGCCAAGAAATTTCCGTTCCCAATCCTGAAGTTAGAGAAGCCATTTATTGGCAGCAACTTAAAAAACTTGATGAAGAACAACAACGTAAAATTTATGAAAGGAATCAATTCGATGAAAAATCCGATCCTATCTACTGGAAGAAAAAGATACAGAGCTCATCACCTTCTCCAACTACACAAGTGATGAAGCAGAATTCTCCAAGTTTATCGAGTCCTAATCGTTCTCAAGTTCAAGCACAGATCGAACATCATTCTGAGAGCTGTGAGCAAATTTATTGGCGAAATAAATCATCTCCAGTAGTAAATCCGTCAGGAAAACCACCTCTTGCTGGTCAGAAAGGTCAGAATCAACCGGTTCTAGTAGTGAGGCCTCAACAAGCTGTTCGAGAATCAAATCAAGTTCAGTTTATCGAACAGGAATCAAAAGATTCATCTAAATCTAAAAACCTTTCACCTTATTTTGTCAGAAATGATGAAAGACGTAGCCTTCAGATCCCACGAAAGTCAGGAAGTACTTTAGACGATACTAGAAAATCATCAACGTCTTCGATTTATGATGACACCGATATAGATAAGAAACAACCGCCACCAATCTTTAAACGTGGCAGTCTTATCAGTAACTCTAGTAGCTCTGTCGAGTATAATACAATGGGACCAAAGCGAGTGAGTTTTTCAAATCAGTCAAATTCACCAGAAATTGGGTCTGGCAACTGGCCGACTAAACACGGCATGGCGCCAGAACCACCGACACGTAAACATCGAACTGAAGAGAAAATTCTTCCTGAAGCTGGTGTTCAAAATCCTCGTTTTCATGCCGAGGATCAGAACAATATCAATATTTATGGAAATGTAAGTGTTTGTTCTCTTCAACAACAACAACAACAACACATTTACGATATCGATTATGATGCTAACAAACCATTACCGCCACTGCCATCAAAAGATCCCTGGATGCTAAAACGCAGTAACAGTATGAAAGATGCGCGGAATCAACAATTTGAAGTTCAGAGATTGGTTCAGGTTAACCCTAGAAAATTATCGGGATTCAGCGAAAGTGAGAGTGGAAGTGAAGCTGGTGAAGTTCAGAAAATTCTTCAACGTCGTCATGGTGAGTTTTTAATTAAATCTATACTGCCAAATATGTGTATACTCATTCATTTACATTCATCATAAAAAGAAACAAAAGTTATTGGAAGGAATCGTAAAAAGCGATAATTTTCTTTGATAATTTAATAAAGTTCCAATTTTTTCTAATGAGTTTGTAATTAAAAAAAAAAAATTTTGTGTGTTAATATAACATTATTTTGAAATTTAATCTATTTCTATCAAATTTTCTGGTTCATTGAAATTACTAATATTTTAGTAAATTAATTTTAATTGAAGAATTAACGCTTCAATACTTCAATTTATCACTCATGGAAAACTGGAAAATATGTTCTGTATTAAATAAAGTAATTTTTCATGAGTTTACAATGACTACTTTTAACCATTTTCACTAGAAATTGTAGTTGATTATAAGTTAATTACAAAATAATTGATTTTCTTTTTCATTATGAATTTTCAAGCGACATCAGATGAAAATATTTTTACCGCAAAAGCTCATTTAATATTTTAATTTTTAAATATGAAATTAAGATAGGTAACTTTTTTTATTTATTTAACAAATGATTCCTTTGTCAGTGCATCTTAATGAACCACTTGACTAATTCATAAGCACAAGCACGTGTTCATGCACCAAGTCTCGACAATAAGATGTTGTTATATATATCTCCCCTGTGATTAAATAATCTTTAAATCCAAAGTGAAAGTGTAAATCACATTCATATCAGGGTTATTGAAGTTGAGAAATATTAATACATTCACTAGTAAAAAATAATTATAGAAGTTATCTACCTTAGTATGTTACCTAAATGGTAATAGAGATCGGTCAAACCCATTTACCCAAAGCTCAATAGCTATAAAGCTAAATAGCAGAATGCTTAATGCACTAAGGATTAAATGCTTATCCTCTTTCCAATGCTAATGTCCGTATAATACCTGTACGCGTTTTGCCCACAATTTATTTGTGGTCAAATAACGCGCAAGATTATTTCTCTTCTGCGCATGGTATTAGGCATTGCAGTCAGCTGCAATGTGTAGTACATGCGCCTCGAACGTATTCATCAATTAGACACCTAAACTGATTTTTTATGTTCAAAGAAAAAATATGAAATATCCAAGAAACAACTTATGAGAAAGTTACTGGATAGATGTTGCTTACATATTTATTGTGTTGGCTTTAGAGAGATGTATGATGATGGTTTATTAGTCTTGGCTAGATGAAACTCCTTCTTGTCTAGGTCGTTGACCTTGGCTGATCCATGAAACTACCATGTGCGCGCAAGTGACAACACACAGATGCATGTATACCTGCACCCACGCGTTTCCGGGCGCGGACCTTGCGTTAGAAAGACTATTGTCTTCATTTTTATCACGATAAACGACCAGCCGATCTGGTCCGACACTCGTTAACATGAAGACGATGCTTTTTGTTTCTTGTGGGTGAACTAACGGCTCCATTCTTCCACCAATGACTTTATTTAGCCTTGTATTCTGTACTCATTGCTATTACGTTGATGGTCAGATTCATTTCCTACTTTCTTTATTCATCATACGTACACAAGAAAATTTATATTCTGTTTGTAGATATTATCGTTTAAATTAAACTCAATATTTCAAATTATTGCTTTAATATAATTTATTTAAAGTTTCATAAATAATACAATATTTTTTTTATTTTTGAGATTTAATTGTTTTAAAGTAAATCAGGTCATATTAGTCATTGAAAGTGAATAAATCCATTGTTAAAACATGTAAAAAAAATGGTAAAATAGGGTATCCATTAGCCCTTAAGGGGTCATTCCGGTCTAAATGGCTTTTGGCAATAGAAATTTGTACGATGGTGAAAAATGTAAAAAAAAATGCGTGCTATCGGTGTTCATCAGAGTTAGAGATCGATGTCTCTTTGTTCATAATAATCTACATTTTTAGATTTTAATAGAAATAATTTTTTATTTTCTTTTTTACTGATATATTCGAATTTAAAAATTAATGATTTAGTTTTATTGACTTAATTTTGAGTCTGTTTTTTTAAATAAAAAAAGCTCTCTAAAACAATTAAAGTTTCAGTTAATACTATGATATTGCATAAGATAATTTTATCTGAATATCACAGCTAAACGATTATAATCATTATGCTTTTAAAAACATCAATGAAAGGCAAACTCTTGCATTCACAGCATTATTAAAATTATGCTTGAATATTTTTGCCATTTAGATACTTTTATTTTTGAAGTTCTTTCTACTTATTTAGTTCATTAAATCGTTTTTTCTTCTGCAAAGTGGAATATCCAATTTTAAATTCGATAACTTTAAATTATAAGTGAATTGAAAATTCATTTGAACAACATTTATTTACAATACATCGAAGTAATGGAATTATTTAAAGTAAATTTACTTTTTCATTTCATAAAAACTTCGGCTTGAATTTCTTATTAATGTAAAATCAATTATACAAGTGTCAGATGATGAAAATATTTATTCATGTAATAAAATTTCACCATAAAATTAACTGCAGCAGTAAAATTTCTCCTGCACTTCATGTAAAATAATTCATGAATTATGCATTCAACTTTAAAAAAAAAATACGAACTTCTAATTGAAATATTTTTTCACACAATAAAGTGAACCTATCGACTGTGATATTTATTTACCTATCGTCGTGGCGTTTGTGTCCGAAACAATAATCCATTGAGCTTTCTTGCGACTACCTTTCAAAGTTCTACTATAGATGGAGTTATTTCCATTAGCGCCTAAATTTAAAATATTTATTAACTTACTGAATGACAATAACAATAATCCTTTAAAAAAGAAAGAAAAGCAAAAAAAAAACTGAGTAATGTGTGAGATACCGAAAGTAAACATTAGTTTGAATCCATAGGTAGGCAATTTCGATTTTATTGAACAGAAAAAAAGAAAATGCATTGGATGATTTCTATGTTGAAGTAATATATATGCAGATTAGTGGAAATTCAATGTATTGTGTAAGTCAAATACAATGAGAAATGCATTGAAATCTCGGTTGGTTTTTCAACAATTCTTATCTATGTCTCGGATTTTCAAGTGGACGATAAGATTTGGCAAGAATACGAGAATACATACAATTGTTTTATTTTTCCTCCGGAAAAATTCCAAGCACGTAAAAGACCTCCTGTCGAGTTGTATTCGCTTTTCTTTAGATGATAATTTTTCCAGCGTCTCTGTCTGACCACACATTGTCATTTCCACTCAACAAAACCCACCCACCCTCTTTCTCTCTGTCTATGTTATACGACATTCTGTCAAAGCCTTCCCCAAGCTTTTCTATTCATCATTTCCCGCGATGTTTGTCTCTCTTTTCTCTCTCTCTCTCTTTCTCAAAACAAAACGGAAGTATGCGCCGTTAAATGTCGGAAACGCACGAGTAATCACGGTCGAACTTGTTCGGCGTTGGCGATATCTTTTGCTCGGGCAGTTCCGGCTCACCCGGCCAGGGATGCGGAATGCGGACGAGCGAACGTTTTCGGAACGGCGTAGTAGAGTCAAGTAGAGAGGACAGACTCCGGTCGGGCATCGATCCCCGACTACTCCCGTGACGTCATAAGCCGGGACTCTGCCACCCGGCACACGCCGGCAATTGGTGAGTTCGCTGCTTCTATCGTCAACGACTTTTGTTGTGGTCGACGTGTTGTTCAAGTGGTGGTGTTTATGGTGTTAGTGGTCGTAGAAAGTCGTGGACAGCAACTTTATCCATCATCCAATTTGTTTGTAATTAATATTTTCATTTTAATTCATCATTTCTCCACTCAGTAAACAAGCCCTAGATTGAAAATAAAAAAGAAAGTCATTCCTGTTTTGGTTCAGTTAAATATGGCATAAAGTATTCCATTCATATTCATTCCCACAGGTCTATCTCGTATCATCTGCAATAAACGATGAATGTAAGTCAGTGGTACAGCATTTCCGGGCGCGACAAGTGAAAGATTATCCCTTTAATTCCTTCATTATTTTTATAATCAATCTTATTATCTCTTTGCTTCAGTTGATTAATTGTATTGGATAATCCTTTATTATCTCTTTAGATATTTTGCGGTTTGAGACTCGTCATTGGATTTAGGTGCAAATGCCTGACATTGTTGGCTACCCGGTTGATCTTGATTTGCGCGGGTGAAACTAGTTAGGGTGTAAATCTTCCATATTTTTGAAACTTTTCGTGGATTTAAGATCTTTGTGGTGAGTTTAACTTTGAAGAAGCTGCTGGAATAATTTTCACTTGATGTTTAAACTTTTCTAATATTTATTTCCGGAGCAAATAATGAACTTAAATATTAATTTAAATGAGTTGTTTGTGGTGAATACAGTACGTGTAAATTCGTTTGTTTTAAAATTAATAAAAGGAAATTTGTGATCATTAAATTTCCATTTCTGATGAGACTTATTCTAACAATTTTATCTAATCAATATCGCGTATGTTCATTTTCCAAGATACGTGACTGTGATAAAAATGTATCTAATGAGGAAATCACATAAAACGTTTTACTGTAAATATAATCTAGCCTCCAAGTTGAATTCTTTTGCTTCTTTCATAATTGACAGTTGATTGATTTCGCTTTAGGCTTCACGCGTACTCATATCATTCACTAACACGTTATAGAATAGAGCTAACAACAATTTATCGTAGTTTAGAAATTTTCAATATATCGTTTTAAAGATAAAAGAATCAGGGTGTGATAAATGACTTATCAATGTCATTATTATTGATTTGATTTTGAATTTCAATATTCGTTTTTTTAAATTTAATATTAAATCTTATTACTGTATAATTTCGTTTAAATAACTTTTAATAATTGAACTAGAGTAAATCCATGAAACAGAAGGTAATTTCAAATTATTTTATTGAATAGAAGAATTTATTTGAGTTGTCATATTGGCTTCTATCATTTAATTTCACTATACAGAATAAATATATGTATATTTCAAAAAGAATCATAACAATAATCTATTGTTGTATTGAAAATGTCATTTATATATGCACATGAATTTATTTGCAAAATTCCTTTTTCAATGGCTTAAATCTTCAAATAATTAAAATGTTG